GATCCTCAGGTTCGTAAGTCACATTTCAAGTACTCAATAGCCTTAAATTTATCAGCCCAAAAATCTTACTGAAATTTTCTTCCAAATTAAAATTGTAAAAACAACAAGCTATGTATCAAAGGCAAGCTCCTGGCTGTCAGGTGGAATCTTGTGTACTGTTTCTGAATGAAGCCATAGCAAGGGAGTTAACTTACTTTTAGTACTGTCCTGCTCATCACTGCATTCTTAATACCTATCAAGTGCCCAATACAGACAAATTGAACAATAAACTTTTATTGAATGACAAATGGATAAATTAAATGAATAAATGAATGAACACTTCTGTTTTCTTCTTTGAGAGGCAGTCAAACGAAAAGAAGTAGGGAGTCACCTCGTAAAGAAATCGCCGATGCCGCCTATTATCTTTCTCTTTCTGCCCACTGTTTCCAGGTTAGGAATAGACTACTGAGAATATAAAATATAAAGAAACCTTATAGAAGGATTAATGGGCCTTAAGGACTATGCAGTTTAACTTTCCTCCTTCTCTGTCTGTATTTCTGTCTCCCTAACAGATGTGGACAAAAATATGGGTAGGTTTATGCAGCAACTCAATAGCAGAACAGAACTTGAATACAGGTCTTACAGAGGAAAGAAAGCATCATTCCTTTTACTGACCGTGATTCAACATGAAAACACTACTTTAATTCATGACAGAGTGAAGTTCTTGCATTTTATGAGATCATTATATCACTACAGGGATTAAAATTTCAGAAGTAACTGAGTGGATCAGTGAAAGAACATATTCCAAAGTAAGGATTTCTGATGCATCAGAAAGCCATGTTCCACTCAGGTTTGTGGAGAAATTCAGGGTCATATTAAGGTAGTTACTTATAACATGAAAAATGTTTAAATAAACAGTTTATGATAGCAGAAGTTCAGAGAAAAGTACGAAAATGTACTAAATTGTCTTATTTCTTTACAGTTGGTTTTGTACATTAAAAAAATTCTTATCTTTAATGCTGAAACGTGCTCTTTTTGTCTGCATGATGTGAAAATACGGATGACTCTTAGCCAACTGTATTTATGACAGAAAGTAAACATGTTCACAACTGAGGTTCATGTCTCGGTTGGTGACAGTGATACATAATCTTAAGCCCAGTATCTAAGAGGAAATAAATTCGTCTTGAGATCCTAAACTTATCAAATAAGCACAACAGTTTCAAAGGGAGAAAAAATTATTACTGTCTTTTTTGAGTATTTAATTAAGACCAAGAATATTGGGAAGCATTGTCATGCCATGGTAGGGTAAACCATCTCAACATTCAGGAAAGGCCACACACGTCCATATCTAAAATAAGTCAGTCACAGTGATGAAAAGTATAGCATAGGGAACAGAGTCAACATTATAATAACACTATATAGTGACAGATGGTGACTACGCTTATCGTGGTGAGTACTGAGTAATGCACAGAACTGTTGAATCACTACGCTGTACACTTGAAACTAATATAACATTGTACATCAAATACACTTCGGTAAAAAAAAAATAAATAGCCATCTTCCTGATATGTTATTTTTTTCATTCATGCAATTACCACTTAGTATAAAGTTGTCTCTTTTGAAGATGGCTTGGGTTACTATAATAGAAGGCCATACAAAGGACTAGCTGTTCATCCTGCAGCAGCTACTGAAGAGAACTAGGAAATCCGAGAGAGTGACTTGCATTAACTGGTTAAAAACTGGACAGTTATGAGGCACTTGGCTGACTCAGCTGGTTAAATGTCTGACTCTTCATTTTGGCTCAGGTCATGATCTCAGGGTCATGAGACCGAGGCCCGCAGCAGGGTCTGAGCTCAGCAGGGAGTCTGCTTGAGATTTTCGCTCTCCTTCTCCCTCTGCCCCTCCCCAATGAATAAAATCTTAAAAAATCTTTTAAACACAACACAACAAAACAGGACAGTTACATTCCAGGGAAACAATATGGAAAAAGCAGGCTTTGTGCAGCAAGCCAATGAGTAAGTTAAAGATGACAAGATGCGGGCGCCTGGGTGGCTCAGTTGGTTAAGCGACTGCCTTCGGCTCAGGTCATGATCCTGGAGTCCCTGGATCGAGTCCCGCATCAGGCTCCCTGCTCGGCAGGGAGTCTGCTTCTCCTTCTGACCCTCCCCCCTCTCATGCTCTCTATCTCATTCTCTCTCTCAAATAAATAAATAAAAAATCTTAAAAAAAAAAAAAAAAAAAGATGACAAGATGCCATTTTAGAAGAAACAGTGCTTGTACCATGAAGGGTTTAAGCCTTTGGAGGCAGAAATTTAGCCAGGAAAAAGATACTTTAAATGATGAAATATGTATGTCTCTACTAGAGAGATCCCTGGAAAGAGGTGATGGGAGGTAGCTCAGGGTTGGAGCATCTGATGTGCTATGCAAGAGTGAGGATCCTGGAAAGTACCAACTAGTACCAAAGCAAAGCACCACTTTTAATCCCTGTTTGGTGGGGAGGCTAAGGCATGAATGCCTAAAAACCTTCTCCTTGCCAGAGACTTATTTACTCAGGCACAGAGTCAACCCACCCATATTTCTGTGAGATCAAGATGTCATAAAATAAGCATCTTCTGCCCAAAGTGGTGAACTGGGCTGTGTCATTAAGAACCATATCATCCAGATCCCAGTATATATTTCTTGACATTATGATTCAATTTTTTAACACATTAACTTTATTGAAGTGTAATTTTTTTTTGCATTTGACATTCATATTTTACAACTGATAAACCTACATTGGCACATTATTATCACCTATAGTCCATGGTTTACACTAGGCTTCACCCTTGGTTTTGGACATTCCATGTATTTGAACAAATGTATAATGATGTGTCTACCATTATAGTATCATAGTGAATAGTTTGACTGCCTGAAAATCCTCTGTGCTTCATCTATTCATCCCTCCTTCCCCTTAGCCTCTGGCAAAAACTAATCTTTTCACTGTCTCCATAGTTTTGCCTTTCCCAGAGTATCATACAGTTGGAATCATACAGCATGTAGCCTTTTCAGATCGGCTTCTTTCAGTCAATAGGAAGATGTTATTTAAGGTCCCTCCATGTTTTTTTATGCCCTGATAGCTCATTTCCTTTTAGCTCTGAACAATATTCCACTGTTTGGATGAACCACAGTTTATCCATTCACCTACTGAAAGGCATTTTGGTTGCTTTCCAGTTTAGGCAATTATGAATAAAGCTGCTCTAAACATCTGTGTGCAGGTTTTTTGTGTGGACATAAGTTTTCAACTCCCATGAGTAAAATACCAAGGAGTGTGATTGCTGGATCACATGGTGAGAGTGTAGTTTTGTAAGAAACTGCCGAATTGTCTTCCAGAGCGGCTGCACCATTTTGCATTCCTGCCAACAGTGAACGAGAGTTCCTGTTCCCCACATTCTCATCAGCATTTGGTGCCGTCAGTCATCTGGATTTTGGCCATTCTAATGGATATGTAGTGCTATCTCATTGTTGTTTTCAGTTGTATTATGATTTAATTTTCAGTGTCCTCTTGCTTAAGGATTTTTCCAAAAGTTAGAAATGCACAGAATGCTTTGGATTATTAGCTACTGGAGAATGTTACCATGAGATATGGGTAGGTTCCCATATTTCCAAATGAGAATTACTGCATGCTGCAACCATGCAAAAAATACACTGATGATGTTAAATTTTCTGAACGTGTTACAGAAAGGGACATTTGCCAAGAATGCTAACGTAAGCAATGGACTACGACCACCACTGGTGTGACATCTTATGTGACCTATACCGTCTGTGAGTATAGGAAATTATGCTTTGGACTTTGGAAGGTAATCATGTCTTCAAAAGATTTATCTTGCTTGTTTACTGTCTTATGTTTATTATCTTACCCATTCTACAGACAGAATTGTATTCAAGGATATTCTTAAAATGTTGCCAGTTTCAACTTCTATCCCAACTTCTGGTCAGGGAGTTTCTTGCTGTTTATTTTGGACTATTGCATGTTGCTGCGATTCTAGTCACTAAATTTTAAAGAAAGAACTAAAGAAAGATTACGGGAACTTCTTAATTATGTCTCACACTGAGAAGTATCTCAAACACGCACACAAACAAAGGGACTGTTAATAATCTAGCATTCTTCACCTTGTCTTCCCAAAGCATGAGTTGTACAGTATCGCTCGTTACTCTTCACCGCCTTACAGACCAAGGGAAAGGCAGCCGGAGGCAAAAGCCTTCGCACCAGATCCGTTCTGCACTGACGGGATGTTTCAAGCACTCGGCGTTTACCTTTCAAACACGACATCTGAAACTAACGATGCCCTGTGTGTCGGCTCACTGAGTTAAGGAAAAAAACTTCCACATTTCAAACGCGGTGCTATGGTTCAACCTGTGACTTTTTCTTTCTTTTTCTAAATCAGAGATACACAGATGCAGACATAAAAATCAACCTCTACTGGGGCGCCTGGGTGGCTCAGTCGTTGGGCGGCTGCCTTCGGCTCAGGTCACGATCCCGGGGTCCTGGGACCGAACCCCGCGTCGGGCTCCCTGCTCGGCGGGGAGCCTGCTTCTCCCTCTCCCTGTGCCTGCCGCTCTGCCTACTTGTGCTCTCTCTCTCTCTGTCAAATAAAAAAAATCTTTAAAAAAAAAAATCAACCTCTACCTTGTGCAGACCTCCCACGACATTAAGTCATCCGCACTTGGGGTGAAAGACTTACTTCCCGGTTGTGCCTGAGACGTCACACGTCACCTTCACAGGACTATTTGCTCCCGGCTACGAACGGAGCACGGCTTGTCCGTGAACAACCCCGCGCGGCTGACGCTTGTTTAATCACAAAGTTCCGCCCAGGGTCGACATAAAGCTACGAGCAACGCGCACGGCCCTCGACTCCAGGCACAGCAGGGCCCGCGGCGGCCGCCCCCCCCACGGGCCGCGGGCCCCCCCACGGGCCGCGGGCCCCCCCACGGGCCGCGGGCCCCCCCACGGGCCGCCCTCGCGCTGCGCGCGCGCCACCTACCGCGGTCCGTGTCGTACAGGAAGACGAAGCCGCTCCACTCGTAGTGGTCCAGCAGGCTCAGCAGCGCTCCGCGCAGGGACGGCCGCAGCTGCAGCACGAACTGGCTCTCCCCCTCGGTGGGGAAGCTGGGCGTGACGAGGGAGATGTGCAGGGCGCTGCAGAACGAGGTCAGGGTGTGCACGGACCGCTTGTCGTAGAGCCCGAAGATGGCAAACACTCCTCGGGAGTACTGCGAACAGACTGCGGGAGAGAGAGAGAAACCGCGTCTTAGCGCGCTCTGACCGCCCACGTCCGCACCCGCCGTCTGCGGCCAAGCGAAGTCTGCCTCGTCGGCCCCTCACGGCCCCTCAGGAGCGGAACGTAGGGGGAGCAGTGAGGCGCGTGAGGACGCCCGGCATCCACTCCCACAGCCCGGCCCGGACGGCGGCGCCGCACGCGCCCTTCCTCGAGGCGCCCGCGCGGGCTTCCGGGGCAAGATGGCGCCGCCGGAAGCGCCCGCTCCCGCCTCTCGCGCCGGGGAGCCGCCGCTCCCCAAGGGGGGCCGAGGCCCGGGGGGCCGCAGGCAGAGCGGCGACGGAGGGGGCGCTGGCCCCGGGCAGCCCCCGCCGCAGGCCCGGCGTCCGCGCGGGGGGCGCCGGAGGAAGCCGGTGCGAAGGAGCCGCCGGCCCGCAGAGGCCTCAGCCCCGGAGCCCTGCCAAGCGGCGGGGCAGCTGCTGGAGCCGGGCCAGCGCCGGGGCTGGCGAGCGCCACTGTTGACACTGGCCTCCGCCTGGCGAGCGCATGGTGCGGACGGGAGCGGGCCCGCGCGCCTCGGCCGGCCGGCCGCCTCGCCCAGCCCTGGCTCTGGCCCCAGATGCCCTCGGGCACAGGGAAAAAACGCGCAGTTCAGAAGCGCAGCTGGAATACCAACGACCCAGCCCCAGAGCCCCGTGCCAGCGGCAGGCTGCCGGGGCAGCTCCGAGCCAGGGCGGCCCCCTGCCCCTCGGGCCGGCGGAGCGCGGTCGGGCAGCCCGGCCCCGGCCCAGCAGGGTGGCCCCGGCGCGGCCCCAGCCGGAGGGCGCTTGGGCTCCACACGGCCGGCCTGCCGCCCCACCAGGGCCCGCCCGGCCCCGAGCTCCTGGCGGGGGACGCCCCGCTTCGCCCGCTGGGGCGTCTGCTGTCCTCCCGGGGGCGTCGGTGCGGCGAGCCCGGGCCCACCCCACCGGGGACCCCCAGCGCGGAGTCTGCAGCAGGGATGACCACCCAGGCGGTCACTCCTTCAGCTTCAGGAAGCTGTTCGCCCAGCCCGCTGAAGCAAACAAAGTCGAGCCAAGTGAGAAGACGGGGGACCATGATCCCATAAAAAGAACTAAAATGAAACGGACACAACAGGCTACCTGAATTTGTTACTCTGGCTTTTTTGTTCTTTGCGGTGGCAGTTTAATTTCTTTCCTGTTTTCCCTCACAACCGGAGAGTCCTCTCGACCCATGTGTGGAAACAAGTTAAGGGTCTGGAAAATCACCACTGGCCCTCGGCGCCTAGTGGAGCTGTGACGAGCTTGCAGCTTCCACGTGGGCTACGAAGTGCAGACGAAGCAACTTCAAAACCCAGGGGCACCAGGTCCCCTTGCAGTGAACACGTGCACAGCCCCCGTCCTTCTTGTCTGCTCCTAGTTGCTGCAGGGACAACGAGGCAAATACATAAAGAGGAAAAAAACGCTTCTCGAGACTCTTGCCTAGCTTCATTTTGATCCCTCCTCTGGCATGACTGAATCCTACTCCAAACTCCGGTGACTTTTTCTAATCCACCTTTTTATTTATTTTATTTTATTTTTTAAAGATTTTATTGATTTATTTGAGAGAGAGAGAGAATGAGAGAGAGCACATGAGGGGGGGAGGGTCAGAGGGAGAAGCAGACTCCCCGCCGAGCAGGGAGCCCGACGCGGGGCTCGATCCCGGGACTCCAGGATCATGACCTGAGCCGAAGGCAGTCGCCCAACCAACTGAGCCACCCAGGCGCCCCTCTAATTTACCTTTTTAAAGGATACAAACTTGCATTAAAAAAATACTTTTTCTGTTTATGAAGGAAAGCATGACTGTTTGAATTCCGTATTCTTACAGTTACCACATATGGTGAAAGGTCCCATTTCTCCTTGGCTGATACAGCTAGTTTAAGAAATCTTTAGTTCTCTAAAATGTTGATGTTTTCTGATTTTGGTTACTACTTTTAATTGCTGATTTATTAAGAAGCCTAGAATATTGGATAATCTAGAAGTATCTATCTTAGGAGGAGTTCATTGTGATACAAAGAAATTAGATTTTGCTTTGTTGAAGCAGTAATAGGCTCTTGGAAAAAAATTAATTATCCTAATAACATTTATACCCATATTCTACAATATCTGGGTTTTAGGAAATTATGAGGCATAATTAAATAATAAAACCTGGCAGTGTTTCTTCTGTTCTTATTATGCCTCTGAAATTGGGGATAGAGTCTGAGCAACGTAATTATAGCAGAAGGTACCAATTAACAGAAAATGGATGTTATTGATCTTTTGTAGACAATATGCTCTAAGAGATATAAGTTCTGGAAAAAGTAACAACTAAGGGACCAGCATCTATATTCAAATGGACAAGACTAGGATAGAGTAGACTTTAAAATATAGGGGAAAGATTTCCAACTTCGCAAACCAGTTCAAATCCTAGTGCTTTTACTTGTTAGCCAGGTAACCTTGGCTAAGTTAATCTTAATTGTCTCAACTGTAAATACTGGATAAAATAAGATACGTATATAAAACTACGATCCTATACAGGAGATAATTAGTAAGTGGTAGATTTTTTTTAAAGATTTTATTCATTTGAGAGTGAGAGATAGCAAGGGAGAGCATGAACAGGGAGCAGAGGGAGAAGCAGACTCCCCACCCCCCGCCCCCCAGCAGGGAGCTTGATGCGGGGCTTGATCCCAGGACCCTGAGATCATGACCTGAGCCGAAGGCAGACGCTTAGCGACTGAGCCACCCAGACGCCCCGTAAGTAGTAGATTTTATTAAAAAGTTCCATGAGGGGGGCGCCTGGGTGGCTCAGTTGGTTAAGCGACTGCCTTCGGCTCAGGTCATGATCCTGGAGTCCCAGGATCGAGTCCCGCATCGGGCTCCCTGCTCAGCGGGGGGTCTGCTTTGCCCTCTGACCCTCCCCCCTCTCATGTGCTCTCTCATTCTCTCTCTCTCAAATAAATAAAATCTTAAAAAAAAAAAAAAAGTTCCATGAAGGAAGAACATCCAATTCTAATTCTACGCTCGCCCAGGAACTATAATTTGATCACCTGAGTAAACTGACCAACCTGGAAGGCTTGTTCTGACGGTGTGACTGGCTGAAATCTTCTTGCAGGTATAAGAAACACCATGATAAGTATGCCTGGGTTCAGTTAACCTTCGGCTCAGGTCATGATCCCAGGGTCCTAGGATTAAGTCCCATATCGGGCTCCTTGCTCAGTGGGGAGCCTGCTTCTCCCTCTGCCTCTGCTGCTCCCCTGCTTGTGCTCTCTCTTTCTCTCTCTCTGACAAATAAATAAATAAATAAAATCTTAAAAAAAAAAAAGAAACACCATGATGTAACATTTGGGTATCTGGGGTTTCAATTCAATTCATTTCTATAACTTAAGAGACCTTTTCTGATACATCAAGTTGCTGGATCAGCTGTTAACCTTGTGAATGTTCCACTAAGACTTGGATGTATTTATATAAGTGCTGTACATTTAGCGTATAACCAGGAGTCCCTTGGCTCCTTTGTAAAGTTTTCACATTTTCCTGTTCTCTCGATTTTCATGCAAATTGAGGGCCCACTCTCAATCTTTATTCAGTAAATAATCTGGTTCAAATAATTTTTATTTTACTTCATTGAAAAAAGAAGTTGAAGAACTTCAGAACTCAAATCTAAGATACTGGCTTTCAGTTTGGTGCTCAAAGTACACACAGATTTTAGTGGTTGTTCAAGAAACCGTTAAGCAAACAGCGGGCACCTGGGTGGGCACAGTCGGTTGGGTGTCCGACTCTGGCTTAAGCTCAGGTTGTGGGATGGAGCCCCTCATTGGGCTCCGGGCTCAGCAGGGAGTCTGCCAGGATTTTTCTCTCCCTCTCCCTTTACCCCTTCCCCCCAGTGTGAGCATGCACACTCTCTCTCTTTAAAATAAATAAATCTTTAAAAAAGAAAAGAAAATGACAAATAAGGAAAGTAAAATAAGCTGAGTTTCAATGTGTTCATAAATGCATACATAAGAGGGGAGCAAGCTGAATTTTAATGTAATGCTTAGTCACTAAATAGATGTGATGATATTAAATGAGTACATATTTTGGGATACAAACACTAATCAGGATAAGACTTCCAATGAAATAATCCAATCATAATTTTAGGCACATGTTCTATATTCTGCTTCACTAATGAGATCACTTAGATCATGTTATGTAAATAAACACATAATATAAACACATCGTAATAATCCATTCATCTTTTACCTCATGGTGTCAATTAATTAGATCTGTCTTTTCATCAGGTAGTCACCCCGTTCCATTCCAGATGCCAAGCCAAGTCAATTTGTCATATAATTTTTGATGATTTATAGCCCTCTATCGCATGTAAATCAAATGACGTGGTCTTAGCTCAGTGCTTCTCAAGTTGTGGGACATAAATCCAAGTGATATGCTGAATTTTGCCTGACCACCGCTGCGTGGGTAGGAAGAGCACAGGCCAGTGCTTCATCTGCTGCCCTTCCCTTTCTCGTGCCTCTGTAATCTTCCTCTGCTCCACAGGACGTCTGTAAACAAGCCCAGCTGTCCTTCATTTTATAAAACACAGAACCTTCTACACCTACCGCTTCTTACCCTCCTACACTTTCCCAGGCACTTCGGTTGATGGGGTTTTCTACTTCCACTGTTTTCCAACTCATTTCATTAGCCTCATCTACTTCCCAGCCACCAGAACCACTTTCATCAAGTGTGCTGATGACCAACTACATCCCAAATCCAACATCCTTAATCCCCCATCTTACTGGAGTTCTCTGCTGGGTTTGGAACTTTAGACATCTGCTGGGCTGCAAACCCACCCACTCCCTATTACCACTATGCCACTCCAGGTACTTCTGTTAACAATCAAGCCTTATGGGGACACCTGGCTAGGTCAGTCATGGAGCATGGGGCTCTAAACCTCAGGGTCATGAATCCAAGCCCCATGTTGGGCGTGGAGCTCACAAAAAAAAAAAAAAAAAAAAA